GGGAAATATGTCGCTACGTCACACAGTGGAGTCTCTCTGATTGGTTGACGTGACGCGTCGAGCTGCAAAAGTTCAAATTTTCTAACTTCAGCTATTTGCGCCTCAGCGCGTCGAACGCTCAGATCGTTCAAATCGTTCAAATCGCGCTGCTCTAATTGCACTTGAGGCGCCGCAGAACTTCCCGACGCTGATTGAAGTGCATCCACCATAGACTTTATATGTAAACCTGATGCTCCTGATGCTGAAATTGTGTTCGGTGTGAACGCAGCATTAGTCTAATCTACTCAGATTCAGCTATCATTACTTAGTGCTAATGTTTACTCATAATGCTAACATTTGAGCTAGCATTATACTCTCCGACGCTTTAGGAGTGGATGAGCCAAATGGGTGGTGACTGCTGCCAACTAGTGGGTGGAGGATAAACTACAACACAAAAATTAAGCACTGACATGAAAGTTTACTCTTTGCACAATATAAATCGATACAGTGCTTTAGAAAAATCATTCAGTATTGTTAAATGAAAGATATTGCAATATTTCAGTGTATCAATATTTTTCTTACACCCGTAATTAAACTGTACACTGCATTAAATGATTAAATGAGAAGAAACTGTAAATGAATATAYAATCGGATACAGTTTTGAGAGAATCTTTAGCCAAGCTAAATAGGTTTTTCTGCATTTCAAAATGATTTTAGTATGAAAAAGAAAGTATGAACAGAGAAAAAAAAATCTGTAAAAATCCAGAGTATTATAAGTAGTATTATATTATAATTCTGTTGAATTCAGTTTATTTATGTAGTGCCAAGTCACAGCAAACGTTGTCTCAGGGCACTTTTTGAAGAAATGTGAAATGTTTGTTATGCAAATTCCCAGGCTGTTTATTTCTTTCTTAATTTTTTTGGTCAATGACTTTGTTTTTTGTCTGGAATCTTTATGCTATAAGCCCCTTTTTATCTTTCTTGCCCTTTCTTCACTCTGATTGAGTAATGAAAGCAAAATGAAATGATAAATAATCTCAGTGACAGCAATAAGAACTTACCTTGACATAGTGGACTGTTGGAGTTACATTCWGTATACAAAATAGGGCTGTAGCATTTTATTAGTTTACTATTTAATCAAAACAAAGTAGCAGCCAGTGACTGCTGTCAAGCACCAAAGTGATGGATGTTCCACTTGAGCACAGCTAGACCGTTTGTTTTATTATTTCTGTCTGAGAGCGCAGCTTGTCCGACAACATTTTCTTCTAAAGCTTCGAAGTGGTAGTTTGCAAAGCCTCCACAGAGATGCCCACTGCAGAAAGCAGAAAAAAATACAAAGCTTAGGAAATATAGCTATCATTGGATGTTTAAAAGGTTTATTACATTAGATTATGAATTAGATTATTATAATATTGCATAGATGTTCTTTAAATTAGGCTTTGGTATGTGTACATACACAGTCAATATACACAACAGAGCATGTTGTCAGCATTTACCTGAGAGGATTACATTTATACTACTGCACTACAATGAAGTCTAAAATCTATATTTTTGTTGGAAGTCGGTAGTAATTTATGTGTAGTGCTAAGA